CAATATAAAAATATTACATGCTTTAGTATCAGCGAGGTTGGAAGAGAATTGCTGTTGAAAGTTGATAAATTTAAATGACTGAACAATCCCTAATATAAATAACTGATTACAACTGAAGGAAAAATAACATTCATACCAACATGCACAACTGAATCCAACTTTCTATGATAGAGAGTTCCCAATAAGTGTGAAAGATCCTACACATTTTCTACAGGGAGAGAATACAGTCTTTTACAAAACATTACAGTCGGTACCTTTTATTTTCAGCTTATGTACATGAGAAATGGTACAGAAGATCCAGAGCACAGTTTTATGTTGTAGTGAGGTGATGGCATAAAACCAAAGAAGAGTTGTGACATTTTATTCCAAGCCTGCTCATGAATTTTGAGAGACCTCTCTTCCAATGTGGATATGAAATTATTTGAATTAAACCAGGTAATATTAACTAAGTGTGACTAGATCTGTGCTCTGGTTCTTACTCAATAAGAACAGAAGAAAAAATAATTTTTGGAGACAACAGATTCTGGGTGTATAGAAGAGTTATATTTTTTCCTATTATACAAGCAAAAGCAGGAGACTATTTCAAATACAAAGCTACTCAGGGTTGAAAAAACAGAACCCATCTTTTAATTCAATCAGATATACTTGCAAAGTTAAGCTTCTCTTATATTAGAAAGTCAAAGTACATTTGTGTGGTCTAGTTTTTGGGACTGTTACTATACTCTTTGCATTTTAACTGGAGAGGATCACATCTAGTCTAGAGACTGGTACTGAGGCGATAAATGCCAAGTACTTTTTGCCATTCTTATCTCTCTGCATGGGTATAACTTCTATGCATATACATGCCTGCACACAAAATTCGCCTACACCAGCACACCAAAATCACTGCCTGCATTCATATTTCTTCTGACACCTCTTCTAACAAACTGTAAGTGAATATATTCCATCTCTTCTATGGTTGTGCTGGAGGAGTCAAGTTGGAAGACTAAATTTTGGGAAGACAATGGGAGAGGCTGACAGGCTGGAACTGTTTCTTGTGTACGGTCAGTTTGCTGAGGGCAATTAAAAAACCTGGTAGTATCTTGGAGGGAGCTCCAAGCTAGGTTTGATAAACAGTGGGAGGTATACAGAAGATCTTTATATGGTAATTACCACAGCGGACTTTGCAGATGAGTGTGTGGGCATGGAATGGGAGGCCCGCTAGGGACTGCCTTAGCAGTAATTGGAGTAGGTCAGAGATGGTTGGAAACATGGCTGGTATGGGGCTCTTACAGTGTGAATTGAAGCACCCCTTGGGTACATGCAAGGAAGGGGAGAGGGAAACTAGCCTCCGCTCCTATGTGGCAGCAAAACAAAGCGGAGCTTGGGAGAACCGTGCCAGACAGGGGGAAGCCCCTGCAGCAGGGAGCACCATGCACCACACACCCAGCATGCCTATGGCCAAAACCCCTAGGGCACAGGGTACTTACCAGCTCTGCTCTGAGCAGGGCTTTTAAATTCCAAAGCAAGTGGAATTGAACAACCTGATTGGCTGAACCCCAGCAGGGCTTCCACAGTATTTCCAGGGCTTGGCTGGCTTCTCCATGCTTCAGGTAACTTGTTGTGTTTTTTTTTTTGTTTTGTTTTGTTTTTTTTTGGGGGGGGGGGGGGTTAAACTCCCTCCCTACAGTTTCAGGCCATTTATTATACAATAAAAGCTCTGTTATCCAGCATCCCTCGGGAATGGAGGATGCCAGCTAATCAAATATGCTAGTTAATCAAATGTACACCGTCTGGTGCACTCCCTGGCGTCAGTGTGCCAGGGGACAGGGATGGGGGCCCCATGCAGGCTGCTTTGGCCTGGGCTGAAGAAGTGACAAAGAAAAACTCGGCTCACGGCAGCGAAACCGGAAGTTGTCCGGAAGTGGTACTTCCGATTTTGCTTTTGCTGCATCCCTACAAAGCCAGTCAATAGAGTTTTCCGGCTAGTGAAGTACTAGTTAACACAGCTTTTGCTGTACAGCTGAAAAAGCTAAAGAACCCCTCTGCTTCCGAGATCTAGACTCTGGGATTTTTCTGACATTGTTCTGCTTCCTTCCCCTCTCGTCTTATAGATTCCCAAATCCTCACAACAGGCATTACAAGTTAGGCATAAGAGATGTCAAAAGAGAATTTCCTTTTCTTCTGTTTAGATAACTTGGATGTTAATGTTCCCATCTGCTCATAAAGACTTTTATTCATATACTTCCTTCTCAGTTCCCTAGGCAAGTAATTTATCTTCTCTGTTCTATCTGCATTATGGAGATAATACTGACTTAACTGTCTCAGACAGGTATTCATCCTTCATAGGCTTCTGTTAAAGTAAAAAATGTCACAAGTCTTGACCAGACATGTTATATATTGATAGGAGACCTGAGTCCTATCACTCCTTTCTCCTGTCTCCATTTATCTTTATCCATGTTTAAAACCCATACCTGGAGATAGTCTAAATATGCTAACTTGAAACATTGCTCCAAGAAGTAGATGCATGCCCGTTTCCTGTCTTTTTCCCAATTCTCCTTTCTTTACAACTAAAATATGCAGCGGGATAGCTGTTGCTTTAACAAAAAAGTACCTTATGTGCTTTAGGTGTGATGAAGTAGAAAGCCAATGCTGATGCACAGAGAAACAGTTATATGCTGTACTTATTCATACAAGGTGTGGCATGGCACCTAATATACTCACTTTAAAAATAAGCAAAATGTGAATTTAGAATTAATACTTCGTAGCTTTATTAAATATAGATTTTTTAAGAGTCAGCTCTTTAAAATACTGTCAGTTTACAAGTACTTTAATTATATTTCTGAATAAAAATATACTAAAGGGACTTTGAAAGCCTGGGAACATAAACTATAACTATTAAAACAAGTTAAAATTAAATAACCGTCCCAAAAGCACACTATTTCAAAGTTGCTGTGACTTGCTAACCAGACTCTTCCCAGTACTTTAGATTGTAAGCTCTTAAGGGCATGGCTTATTTTACATCTGCAGCACATTACTGGCTATTTGATAAATACTAGTAAAAGCAGCTGCTTTCCCAGAAGCTTCTTTTTGTATCAGATTCACATATTCTAACTGAAAACAGTGCAGTATTTGATTGAACCAATTCTTAGGAGCTGCAGTACTATTTCAAGACATAGTAAAGAGGAATAATGCCATAACCTCCTTACAGAATCCATGAAATATTTTTCAATCTTTTGCACAGCGATCTTGTACAGAGCCACCAACACTAGCTTACAAAATGCAAAACAATTAAAATCATTATTTATAGTGACTATTTCTAAGTAGTCAGGGAAATGCAAGAAATGCATTCAATGACCTTTTATTGTTTTCTCTGTAAGTGTCTGTTTGCATGCAGCATAATAAAAATACTTCAAAACAAGAGTAATCCAAGACAGCTCTTGAGACAGTGTACATTTGCCACTATTTAAGTTATAAAAATCATAAAATGAATTCTGAAGTTTTGTTATATGATCAGTGAGTTGTGAAAAATCTAAATTTGAGAAAAGAAAAAAAAATCCTCAGTCTTTAAGCATACAAAGAACAATCTACTGCAGGTACCAAAGAATATGTTCTATTTATAATAAAACAAATTGAAATGTATGCATTTGGAAACAGGTGTGCATAACTGTAGTGAAGCACTGATATACAGTGCAATGTTCAATTTTGTTTGTATAATATACATCATACAAGAGAAATTATGCTTTGCTATAGTTACTAATTTGGCTACTCAAAAGTTTGTTAATGGCACTTGGTGAACTAACTGTGTGGAAGTTAGGCTTTATAGATAACAGAATTTGAAAATTCTGAAATAAATAGAATTCTACTCTTTTCACTATTATATTACCTATAATTGGCAATAGTCACATCAACAATTTTCCACTGGTAATATTAAACATGGAAGCTCTCCGCTTGATAAAGGTCCAGGTAACAGTGTATTGTATAATCCCGCTGACAAGAACATAAAACCACCTGCCCCTTTTGTACCAGTAGTTCCCAATGTTTTTGGACTCCTTGAATCCCTTGTTTGATTCAAGGTACCTCTCTGTACTTGTGAACTAAGCAGCATCCCATTCCAAAAATAAATCTATCTACTACAATGCCCTCCCTCATAGAGGGCCTGAGTAGTGTGGGGGCACAGAAGCAGCCAGGCAGGGACTAGCTTGAACTTACACTCATCTCCCTCACTTACCTCCTCACACCTCAGGACACCCTTCAAAAGATCTTGTGGCACCCTGGTTAAGAATCATTAGTCTGTGCTGTAGCACCCATCTTTGCTAGGTCCAGGTGAGCTGAACATTAACTAAGGTTTAAAGTCTGCATCATGTAGGACAGATCTTTATGCATTTGCCAGCCAATAAGACTAAAGTACCAAACTGTCCAGTGTAAGGAAAAGAGAGTCAGGAGAACTGTGTTGTTCTTCCCTGTACAAATCAACTCTTGCAGTCCTATTCGTCATTTTAATCTTTCTGGTCCTTAAAACTGTGAAAACAGGATAGTATGAGAGTGCTACTAAGAGCTCATTAATTCTAATCATGTCTTTGTTGACAAACTGCATTGCCTTACACAAGAATCTACTTCAGAGATGTCAAAATGAGTGAAAAATCTCTAGGAATCATGGCAACAAAGGTCAGATTGTCAAAAGCCATCTTGAGGCATTCTTATATTTATATCCACCTGGGTAAACATACTTAAATAATACAGAGGCTCTTTCCAGCACACAACCTGTGTGCACGCAAATGTCCAAATGATATAGGTGTTAATGTTACTGAAAATGCTAAATACATATCTTAAGATGGGCATGAATTTACAGAATCAGAATTGTATAATTTACAATGTGTATTCATGGAGACCCAAGTCTATGAATGACCTAAATTCTAAATATTAATAGCAATAATTCCTCCTTTCTGAAGTGCTCTAAACTCCTTACATGAAAGGTACTAAGCTAATATTAAATATCTAAAAGATTATTGTAATTAAGTCATAAATAGGCCAATTAGCATATAGGAGAATTTTTTTTAAAAGAACAGTGCCTATTCTAGTTTGTCAATAAAAGAATTACAACTGTTTTTGCTTGCATAGATTAGAATACAAAAAGCAAAGCTCAAAATAGGACTTAAAGGCAGCTCAATATTTTGCTAGAAAATGGAAACTACCAAGTATAATTAAGGTACAGACATATCTACTGTTGTGGAAGAGATGTACTCACCTACAACTTTGGAGGAGGTAGGTCCATATATTTCCTTATTAGTAAGTGGCATTAAGAACAGCCCTTAATATTCATATTATTAGATGTGGGGAACCAGAGACAAGGAAGTAGTGTGAAAAACCATGCTTATGGAGTCAAAGCCAATTCTTCTTTAAACTTAGAATAAGGGTTACAGTCACTTTTTGCATTTTACATATAAAAAGATGACGACAAAGTTTCCTGTTGCACTGCAGCAACAAAAACATAATGCAGCTTAGTCTAATATGCTGCAGGGTACAGCAACATACTTACTGTAATCTCATTAAGAATTTCATACTGGAACCTGTTACACTGAGTTCAATTTGATTTTTTTAATGTAATACAGTACATTTTTATAAACTTAACATCATCATTGCAGAAGAGCATGCTAACTGAATGTTAGCACTTTATCTTTTTATACATAATTATTTTACTCTACTGTAGCTATGTGCAGACCTCAAATGTTAGTACATAAAATTCATTTTCCTTACATAAGGAGATGAGGATGAACCTAGAAGAGTTTGGAATATCAGAATGAAATATCTGCTGTGCCTGTTTTCCCAAGAAATAATGAATTACACATTATAGCTCAAGAAATTAACATTTAAATTGCAAAACTATAGTTTCAATTTGCATTAAACATTTTATGATCAGTTGATGTTCATTAATATTAAATGATACTTAACCTAACCATGTTTATGCACATAAAACCAATAGTCTGCAGCAGTTTCAACATCAATTTTTCATATTTTGTATAAAATGGACTAAGATATCTATCTTCAATAAATGTTTTCAGTGCAATTCTGTCAATGAAGAAAATATAAAGCTAACTTTCAATCTTTATTTTATAGGATAAAAAACTTGCATTTGCACTGCTGAAGTGTAAGAAAGCCATTTAGGTTAGTTGTGCTAGTAAAAGTCACTTCAACCAATTGTAACTGTCCTTTTAGGCAGCATTTCCCCCATAACCATGGGTATGAATGTAGAACAGCTGAATACTGGGGAAAAATTTTGAGCAAAGGAAGAATAATATAGGTTTTTAAAAATAAAGTTTTCCATCAATAAGTAGGAATATTTCAAAATAAAAAAGTCTAAAGAAAAAAGTAAAATTCCTTATGATAAATATAGTTTGGAAACTGGTATGTTCATGTTCCTACACCACTTTCCTTTTCCTATCCTTTATATTCTATCTTTGCAAATATAACTTAAGAACATATTATTTGATGGATTATATGAAAATGCTCCATTATTCAATGAGATAAAAATTTAATAAGTTAGAAATTGATTTTTTCACATGTTGTCAACTGCAAGGAACCAGAAGGAGAACAGCACCTGAAATTATAAAAATGTGCTTGGCTAAGCATAAAGTAGAAACCTATACATTTTGGTTCAAAGATACAGTTCGTAAAACTGCATATAGGATACTGCCTTAAGAATTCTGTTTCTACTTTTGCAGATTATACCAGAACAAAAATCCAACCTCTGTAAAGGTAGAACGAAATAAAAGTGGAGCTTCATTCAAATCTAGAAAACCTTGACTGCAATGGTCTATAGCTGGCCATTCAATTAAAACTTAGCTCTTCATTCCAAATAAAATTTGGCTCACAAAAAAAAAAATAAGTACAATAAACTCTCAGTAGAAGATTCTCTCGTGAGACAACCTACCATATACTACTGCTATATACGAGTTTCAAAAAAAAACATTACATCCCATTTTCAGCACATTTTTCATAAACATGCAACTTCACTATAAAATACAAAACACTTGGCTCTCAAGAACAGCTTTATAAAGACACACTGCATCAATAAAATTATTTCTTTGTGATTAACTTTACACTGTAATAAGAACTATATTTTCACTAATGTTTATATATCAGATTTCATATTATAATGTAGTAATAATTTGCTCTGTGAACATAATGTTCAGGAGGAAATATCTATACACATTAACATACTAGACTATTAAAAACTTATTCAGTTACAGAATTTTATTGATACAGTAGATTAATAAAAACTGAAAGGTAAAGATAAAATGGGTAGGGCATTCAGTACATTATTTAATAACACACTTTTCAAATTAAAATATTTTAAACCCTTTTTGAATTTTCAATGCCACTAGAAGTCCAGGAAGTCTGGCATCAATACTGAGGTGTAAAATGAGTCAAACAACTTATTTCACAATCTGCATCTGCTGTATTATTCTATGCAACATTGTTCAACTGTAAAAGAAAGCAAGTTAGCACCTCTGACAACAGGTGGGTGCCTAGAAGTAAACGCTAGATTAGATACATAAGGAAATAAGGACAATCTGTTTTCTTTTTCTTTCCAACAAATAGTGGCAAAATAAGATGATGCTATTTGTTCAGCTGATTTTGTTTTTCACAGTTAAATGCCAAGGAAAGTACAAATACGAACACTGACAGATATTGCTTGAGATCCATTTTAACAAATCTTTTCTTTTTTTAAATCAACAGATCCAACAAAGAGTTGGGCACTGTCAGTTTAAAGCCGCAGATAAAAGCTATACAAGCACTTTAGAAGTCAGAAACATTAAAAAAGGGCTATTTACAGGTTTCTTCTTTAGTTCATATGTCTACAAAGCCAGCGCACATTACACGTCACAAAAATCCACAGTTAATGATATCAACATGTGTGTGGCTAAAGCTTGTGACCTAGGGACTGCAAATGCAGGGGGTAGTAAATGTAAAGAAAGTTTTGTTTTTCTTCAGCAACCCCATTCTGTGCACTGACAGCTTCATTCAGCCTCAAGCTTTATATTAAGAGCGTTCTTCAAAACTTTCACCTGGAAGGCTGTCAACTATATGCTTCCTCATCGCCTTTCCCTTTTGGAAGTTCTACGACGCACCTGTATGGAAACAAGTTGAAAGATGGATTTTGAATTTAGAAAACCCCAAAACTCCTGCACATTATTTTGAGAAAAAAAGTAAACAGTATTTATTATTTGCATTTTCATAATAAATAGAGCCCTATTATACAACCAGACCTAATTTTGTTTAAACTGAGTTATCTGAGGGAGTTTAGATGTTTCTAAAGGAAACTACAGGAAGTCTCTGTTCAACTTAATGGGCTCCTTAAAAAGTGTTTGCAATTCTAAAATAATTTACTTTCTGTCTGACTAGTTTAAAACGTCAGGAACTTCACAACTTAGAACACATCCAGTCATCCAGGACCTCATCCAACCTTCGTGAGTTCTCAAAGAAAGTCAGCAATTACAGGCCCCTGCTGACTTGAAAGCATGTAGGTTTTCAAACAATTCCTAACCTGTTTCATCATTATGCTAAGCTGTTTGTCTCATTCTCTGTCTTTGTTGCCCAACTGTACTTATAATTTGGTAGCTGCTCTTATTTGTGAAAACTAGGGATGCACCAATAAAGATTTTCTTGGTCAATGCCAATAGCCAATTATTCACCAGGCTCGCATAGGCAGATGACATAATGGCAGATACCAATCTGATAACTGATTTACAGGAATGCAGCTGGGCAACGTGGAGAGCAGCTCCCTGCAGGTATGTCTGTGGAAGAGAAAGGGCGCAGGCGAGGGAAGGGGCATGGGGGGGAGCGGCGCACAGATCGAGGGCCCCCACAGTGAGGGAGGGACTGGGGCAGGGGGTACTGCCCAGCCAGGGCGGTGAATGGGACCCTGGAGCCAGGGTGGGGAGCAGGACGGGGCTGCATGTGGCCTGTCCAGGGGCAGCAGGGACATTGAACTAAAGCTCATCAAATGAGCTTTAGTTCAAGTGCTGCTGCCACCATTTTTAAGCGCAGGGACACTTTTAGGAGTGGAGTTTAGGGGGGCAAGGGAAGATGCAGGCTGCCTGCTTTGGGCTCAGGGCTCTCCGCTCTGCTACCTTTGCCATGGGAGCTGCACAATGGCCATAAGCCCCCTGCCCATCTGGCAGCAGGAGGCACAACTTGCTGCTGCCACAGCTGCTGGATGGGCAGGGGACATGTGGGCAGTGCACAGCTCCCAGGGCAAAGGCAGCAGGGCAGAGAGCCCCAAGCCCGCAGCCCACCTCCACCCTGTGCACAAATCTGGGAGTGCACATTCTCCCCCATGCCATGCCTCCCCCAGGGGCACATGCAGAGGCAAGAAGCCACCCCCTCCCCATCCCCATGCCACTGGATGAGCTGCCCACAGCTCCATCCCACTCCGCGCCCCAGCCCCTAGGGTCCCATTCACTGCCCTGGCTTGGCAGCACTCCCACCCCCACTCCCTCCCTCATTGTGAGGGCCTCCATTGGCAAGCTACATGAATGCACATGGCATCCGAGGTCCCTGGCCACAAGACACATCGTATTTCTCGGTGACATTATCAACCAAATACAAGCCAAAAAAAAGCCGATGGCCGATAATGTTAATTTTCCTTTTATTGGGGATCTGATATGGCACTGATATATCAGTGCACCTCTAGTGAAAACTGAAGTAGTAGAGGCATTAAATACTTCAGCCTCCCCTGAACCATCTGGAACTAGATTGCCTTGAACATTCAGTAAGGGACCTATGGTTTCTTTGGTTTTCTTTTTACTTTTGACATAATTATAGAATCCCTTTTTATCAACTTCTCTGTTCACTGCCCACTGTATCTCAAATTGTACCTTGGCCTTCCTAATGTTCTCCCTACATGCCCATGCATTATAATACATAATGTAATATACAATTCCATCCCAAAAGAAATTCTGACACCAACATTTGTTTTTACCTCTGACACCTAATAGTTTGCTTTGGAACAACATCTATCTACATGTACCTAAGCCAATATAGTATCTCACAGAAGCTGTCCTTCAAGTCAAGCCTTCATTTCTTTCTTTAAACTGGGCTCCCGAGTCAAATTACATCTGCTATGATGCACCAGTCAAGGCCCCATAGTGATGTATAAAAGTTCTCTCTCCTAACTGGATTCTCATGACCATGATGCACCATGGGAGATGTAATCTGGCTGAGAAGCCTTGCCTAGAACAAAGAACAGAGCTGTTTGGCACCCAAACTACAACTCCATAAGGTAACTTCTGTATCTAAGCTCCAAAGGTAATAGCTGGCCCAGGCCAAAACATTTTGCTTTCATACCTGCCACAGAAAATTTTTAAAAAAAGGTTTTACCAACAAAAGTTTCAACTTTTGCACTGATAGTCTCTCTCAACCCGCCCTCCCCTCCCACCCCAAAACACACGCGTGCACCCCTCCCCCACAAAAAAATATTGACAGAAAAAAATCTGAACCAGCTCTATTCATAGGAACTTACTGAAAACTAAAGCTTAGGTTATTATAGCACGAAAAGTAAACTTCTTTATTTCAATATAGGCATGTGGAGACCCGCAGAGTACATTTCAAAACATTTTTTTATCTTACACTGATAGCGGAAGTTTCCTCTTCCTCCATTACTTCTTCCTGGGGAATGTCATCACTGACAGGAGAATTACTCTGAAATACATCCATCTCTTCACTAGATTCATTCTCTTTACTTGCTGCTTGTTTGGAGCGTCCAGTACGGCTATAATTGAAAAAAGCCACAAGAAATCAATTTCACAGTCCATAGGTCTTTAAGCATACAAATAAACTTTTCACAAAAAAAAAAAAAAAAAAATCCAGCCTGTTTTAAAGAACTGCTGTTCTTTATCTGCTTCCTGTGTTACATCTATCATTGGCCTCCTTCTCACTGGAGTGCAAAGAATTATAAAACTCTGATTAGCTAAGTAATTGCCTTTCAAAGCAAAATTATTTCAGAGTAATAATGTCAGCAGTAAAAAAAAAAAGCATGACAGCAAGAATATAACACATAAATAGTACTACACTGAATTTCTTGACATTCATATTCTCTTTCCAAAACCCTAACAAGGTTGTAGACCCAAGGATATTTGTTATAGCAGTAATTCTGGTGAAAGGTGGCATTAACAAATATCAAGAGACTTTAAACATATCAATTTTGCCTCTCGACTAATAGGGTTGCTTCCATAAATAAACACACTGATTTTAATCAATTTTTCACCAATTATAATGACCATTTTAGAAATTTTTCTGTATCTCCATTACATTGTTAAGACAAATTAATGATATGACAATAATGTAAAGGCAATTTAACTCCCCGTATTTTCTTGCATACAATATGGACCTATTCCCCAAAAATCAGACCCCCCCCATATTGCGGGGGGTGTATTGTGTGGAGAACATAATTTACTTTTGAGTCCTGCACCACAGTGAAGCAGCTGTGGCATTACATTCAGGAAACTGAGGGTGTCAACTGACTTAATGGCTCACTGTTTTTCATTCTACATGTTAATGATCTTGGTGTTCCATTAATCAAGCTAAACTTTCTTAGGGCAAGTTCGCTATCTGTTACCTGCTCATGATCTCTTTTTCACCATCTCTTTAGCTAAGACTCTTTAGCACAGAACCTTCAGCTCTTTTTGAAATCATATAGCCACCCATGGACACCAAATATTCAGTGGCTGTTAGGGATTCAGCTTAATTATGCATGAAAGGATGAGAGAGTTAGTTAATGATTAAGCTCTGTCCCTTCTTTTTGTACTCATAACCCTGGAAAAATCTTTTTCTTTATTTTGCCTTTCAAAAACAAGGTATGTATATTGGAGAGAAGATACAGTAGTTCATTCTCAGGCAAAACGAAGAAATCACCAATATCATAAGTTGCTTTTGTTAATTATCAAATAACTGAATTGAGATGAGAAGACATTAATTCATTCAAGATTTAAGACAAGACAATAGATGCAATTACATATTATTCATACTGTATATGCAGTCACTTAATCTGGTTACCCATGTTACATTTTAAATCCAATAAAAAAGAATTCCCAGAAGTAAAATGTTTTTTTTCCAGAAAAAGTCTGATACACTAATTAGCTCAGTCAGGATACTCGAACTGGAAGACTAGAAACCCATATTCTTGGGACCATGTTGCACATTACACTTCACATGAGTTAAATGCATTTAAAAGATGAGCAACCACACATGCAAGCAGTAAAACATATGCTAAGTGCAGTTGTATTGTACCATATTTACAACTTGCTACATGAGGAACATCTCCAGAGCTATTAAGTAACACTTGTTAATCTATCATCAGTCTGCTCCACAGAGATAGTACAAGTGATCTGTGGTCCTCACATCAGCCATGTAGGCTGATACCAAGCTATACCAAGCCTCCAGGTAGGACAAGGAAAGGAAGAAGGATCCCGGATCTTTCACTTGCCAGGTTTCTCCAGTATCAAACTGAAACCCAGATGCTCACAACCCCAAAGGGTCCTGGGGGCTGGGACTGACCACTGAGCTATGCATGTTACAGGTCATGGTAACCCTGTGACTGCTCAGAGCATGTTCTAAACTTTAATACTGCACAAATTTAACATGTACTAAGTGCCTCACATGGCAAGGCCCTTGGATGCACAGTCCAGGTATTTACCAAAGCAGTTTAAAAAGTTTCCCCCATCTGGATCATAGATACTCTCCTTTGTGGTACTGACAGTTTAGACTGTAATGTAGAGCCTTGTTCAACTAATCATTTCCTCACTTCAAATTACAGCAAGTAACTTAGAAAAATGGGATGATAAAATTGGTTCTATAGATATTCATAGTCAATAACCTTGAAGATAACCAGTTACTGATGACTAATTTTTCTCTTCAGGAGTTTGAGAAGGGTCCCTCAAAAAGATGATGAATTCTGACAAAGATCTAACTAAAGAAAAGCAGTGCTAACCTGATAATTCTGAGGCTAAATCTAGATGATAACATTATGTCGAGACAGAGCTCCAGATATCTCCAGTTCTATGGCAACTAAAAACTATGGTGTTTGCTTTGGTTTTAGAGATATGGGCTAAGATTTTCAGAAATGGTGATCCACAGAAAATCGTGTAACAAGTTTTTATATATAAAAATGTAGATAACTCTCCAGGCAGATATAACTTGCCCTTGCAATAAGGAAGGTCAAAAACAAAAATGCCAGATTAGAAAGTCCCGTACTACACTGTTTTACTAAACCACGGGTGCTTAACCAGGTCCGCACTGTTCAGCTGACCCAAAGTGCCAAAACCTTAAGCACCCTGTATTAAAATTATTTCACTCCTCCTCCATATTGAAAAAGAGTGATAATATTGTTCCACTTCTCAAAACCCCAAGGGGCCTCTCCATCCCTCAGACAGGTCAGGAGTTGCTAAAGAAAGTGAGTTTTCTTGTACAGGTGCAGAACTAGATTTGACCTCCTTAGTATATTAATATAATTTCTTAAAAAGTCAAGTGCTTGATATGCTCCTTTTCAAGAGAGCTGGAAAACAGACAATTTTCATGCTCCATGTTCAACTGCTACAACAGTAGCAGGAAGCTGAAATATATTGAACTACTCTCTCTAAATTTCTTTGGGGACACAAACAGAAATAAAAATGGTACTACACCAAAAATCTGGAAAGTAGCATTCGCAACTTACGCTTTTTTTTGCTGCGATGGTGGTGTTTTTGGTGGCCTCCCTCGTCTTTTCTGTGGTGTAGACTGGGCAGATTCAACTGTACTAGTTTCAGATGTTTCTGCTCTGTTTTGAGGAACACCCAAATTGCAAGGTATCAAATTATAATTAATGCTAAAAGTTAAAACAAAAAAAGAGAGTTTACAAAAAAAGGAACTCACCTCTGTTGTGTTCTTTTTGGTGCCCTGTTTTGTCTGCCTTTTGGCTTCTGTTCCATGTTTTCACTTTGTCTTTCTTCCTCCTCCTCCTCCTCCTCCTCCGCTGTTGGTACTGCTTTTTTTCTTCCCCTTTTAGATGACTTTGCTACTGGTTCTTCCTTTGGCGTACTCCCACCTGTTGTTTTAGGAGGTCGCCCTCTTCTTCCTTTCTTTGGTGGACTATTTTGTTCATCTTCACTTTCTAAAACATCTTCCTTTAGCCTCTTTTCCTCTTGCCACTGTGGTTCATCAGACTCGGTAACAACTGCAGTTCTCTTCCTCCCCCGCTGACTACCTCTGAGTTTCTGTTCTTGACCCAATTTACTCAGGTCATCTAAACCCAACTTTTCTTCTGAGTCAGTGAGGGCTGCTTTCTTTCTACCTCTGGGCTTCTCTATCTCTGACTGGAAAAAAGAAGGAGTTCTCTCTTTAGTGAAAGCTTTTACTGATTATATTTGAATAAATGCATTTAAAAGATGCACTGAAAAATAAGTTATAGCAAGTCTCCCCTAGCAATAAAATTGTGCAGATATGTACAGTTAATAAAACATTACAAAAATACTTGTTATCCCGATGTTTAGTGATAGTGAATCACTAAGATAAAGCATCTCACCTAGACTTGTGAAGAAACAACTTATAAAAAGCTAAAATTTATGTTAGATTACATTTTCCAAATAAATTTCCCAATCATTTACAATTTAGGAGTCATGTTTAATATGGCTGAAGACATACTGCTTATCCTCCCCACATGTGCACAAACAGACCATATTTTGTGCACAAACAGACCATATTTTGACCAACCACTAAAATACAAGGGGGCCATCCCAAGAATAATAATATTACATCAGTAACATATATTAATTCCTATTTTTTTCTAATGGTGTGGTACATTCATTTATTTTCCCAGTGGTTCCTAAGATATTGCACCACTTTAATAAAATGGTTGCTAGTTTCTCAAACCAGGCAAAAACCCAGGTCATTTACTGAATAAAAAATCTTTTAGCATTACACAACCTGGGACAATCCACTCCAGAACAATGACAGAAAACTAGTAGAGATGGATCCAAAATAGAAAAGGTAATGACATCAGAGATTGTCTCTCTGAAAATGGTTTCTAAAAATTCCAGTTACAATAAATGGGATATTGTTTAGACTGCAAGTATTTTGTGAACAACTAAACTTCATTTTTACACTGTACTACAATTTTGGCAAACTATCAGGTATTCTAAGAAGTAAGCTCATGATTTAGCATTATTTTTGATGAAAAAAGAGATAGAACTAAGTTTACTAGCACAATGTGAAAATATTGAGTTACTTGAGCTATTTTAGAAACAGAAATTGTATAATTACAGATAGTCACATGATGATAATTTCTCTAAGGCTAATTTTCTGTGCCTGTGAAAGTATACCAGATTTTAAATGTGTTTAGAAAAATTTTTAAAGCGAGTCTAAATATATGTTTTGCTCAATTCAAAATTGGAAACAAGATTTTCACATCCCTTTTCTCAGCTTTACAAGTTTTGGGATTCAATGACCATAAGAACACCTGCTGTGGACCCTAAGAAAATTTGCTATTCACACACCTGTACTCTCTCTTTACCACAAGAGGCAAAATGAAACAAACCAACAGTGACCAACCTCTGACCTTGTGCACTGGATTCAAGTCCGATCTAGCACTCAGGGCCACACTATCTGGAATGGCTCCCCACAGATTTGGAAATCTGGCAGCAGGGGACCACCAGTTAATGCTGCCACCACTCCCCTACCACCAAATTTCCATAGCCCTCGGGGCCAGATAACATGTTTCCACAGGCTGGGTTTGACCTGTGGGATGGAGACTGAGTACCACTGTCTTAAACTATTGCTCATTAACCAGCTCCTCCAGAATCCTGGTCCCTCCTCTTGACAGTACCCTGCAAATCTTAGAGAATCTTATAGCAGAAAAAATGTATTGTTAGTAACACAAAGCAAAGAAAAATCATGCAAGTTGTGTGACATCTCTCCTATAGTTCCATTTCACATCATAATCCCTCTTTGGCATCGCTGAAATCATCTTAGTTCCATGTAACAGCTAAAATTTACAAAAAAACCTTTTACTTAATAGATGTTTGCTAAAGGTGCCATGCTAAAACAATCGTTTAACATTCAGTTAGTTAAGTGAAAAGGCAGCAATACAAAGAAGCTGCTCACCCTTACAAGATCAGAGTCGTCCCTCTTGTCATTTTTCTTTCCAGGTAAGGGTGATGCCATTGTGAAATCTTCATTTTCACTGTGGTCCATTTCAGTACTGTCAAGCCTATCAACCAAAAACGTTTATTATTTGGGAATGTTATATGTTATTCTATGTTTACATTTAAATTGTTAAATTGACAGCAGCCTTGTTGTTTGCAGATATATTGTACATAGGAGAATTTAAGCACAATTTTACTTCCAGCCAAAGTAATGAAGGAGGTAATTCCATGACAAATAAACTTTCAATATTATTTAAGTGCTTCTGTTTTTCTTATTTATTTTTATTTCCTTGGTATTTCCTCCCAGCTACTGAAAGAAAGGGACTAAACAATGCAAATGCCTGCAAGAATAGGAAATTTTACTCTGATTTGGGAGGGGGGTGGGGTTTATAAGCATATACTGCTGGAAGCAATTTGTGGAGCGCATAGTTAAAAAAAATTACAAAAAAAAAAACCAGACTGTCTTCCCTTCCTCTACTTGATTCAGCCATAAAGGCATCATACACAGCTGTTTCCCCCACTACTAAAGATCCCAATCAGGTCAATATCAAACAAAGTAGTTAGTTCACTTCAGAATCAAGCAGAATTCAACTGCAAGTACAGATGCTAGAAAGATACATTTTCACACTGGGATACTTCACAACTTGTTTAGTCTTTAGCAGGTTGTAGAACTATGAAACGGCTGCTCAGCAGATTGCCGCAGCTTTTATTTTAAAGGGTGCCACTTCTCCAATCAGCTGGAGCACAGCAGTCATCCTCCATGGCTGACTGGAGCAGCAGTACCCTTTAAAATAAAAGCTGCAGCAAGCAGCTGGAGCACCTCAGTAGTCCTGTGCAGCTGCTTAGCTTTATATACCCCCAGCTAGTTCACAAACCCTCATGTTGTACTGGAGTTAGAATTTTAACCTGACAGCGAATAAAAGTTCTCCTGTAACTTCTCAAACCATAAGAGAGGTAACTGAATACTTGTTGCTTGACAATAACATTTAAGTTATTTTAAAGGAATATGAAAGTTATAGATAATTTTAAGACTGCTCACTAATTAAGGGGCATTTTTTTCTGTTACTTGCCTAAGAGATATTGGGGCAGACTATTTAATTAATGGGCAAAAATACCATGCTACAAGACACAGCCCATAACAGATACTGCATCTTACTAGTGGAAAAATAAAATCTAACTTCTTTTGAATTGTATTTTTAGCAAAGAGCATACCAAATAAGAATTCAAGACACCCCTGTTCTATTCCTAAACTCTGCAACTGTGACTGAGCGCAAGTTGAATTACCTCTGTGCCTCAATTTCCCCATCTGCACAGTAATACCTTCTTTGTTAGCAAATATACAAACATCACCAGTGTGGGTGGAGTTACAGACATTATGGAGTAGGGGTTGACGTCGTTTACTTAGACTTCAGGAAGGCCTTCGATACGGTATCCCACCCCATACTGGTGAACAAGTTAAGAGGCTGTGACTTGGATGACTACACAGTCCGGTGGGTGGCGAATTGGCTAGAGGGTCATACCCAGAGAGTTGTAGTGGACGGGTCAGTATCGACCTGGAAGGGTGTGGGCAGTGGGGTCCCACAGAGCTCAGTCCTTGGACCGATACTCTTCAATGTCTTCATCAGCAACTTGGACGAGGGAGTGAAGTGTACTCTGTCCAAGTTTGCGGATGACACAAAACTGTGGGGAGAAGTGGACACACCAGAGGGCAGGGAACAACTACAAGCAGACCTGGACAGGTTGGACATATGGGCACAAAACAACAGAATGCAGTTCAACAAGGAGAAACGCAAAGTGCTGCACCTAGGGAGGAAAAATGTCCAGCATACCTACTGCCTAGGAAATTATCTGCTTGGTGGAACGGAAGCAGAAAGGGATCTTAGAGTCCTAGTGGACTCCAAGATGAACATGAGTCGTCAGTGTGACGAAGTCATCGGAAAAGCTAATGGCACTTTATCGTGCATCAGCAGATGCATGACGAACAGAACCAAGGAGGTGATAATTCCCCTCTATCGGGCGCTGATCAGACCGCAGTTGGAATACTGTGTGCAATTTTGGGCGCCGCACTTCAAGAGGGATGTGGATAACCTGGAGAGGGTCCAGAGAAGGGCCACTCGTATGGTTAAGGGCTTGCAGGCCAAGCCCTATGAGGAGAGACTAGGGC